TAAGAAAAGCGGTGCTCGGGAGAAAGATGCCATGAGACCATGAGACAGGGTTCAAGCAGAGGGTTTTTTTTTTTTTTTTTGGAAATGGATCATAAAAAGGGGGAAGGGGAAGAGGAGACCAACCTCTGGAGACAGGAGCAACTGGGAAGAGGAAAAGAGGTAAGAGGGGGAGAGGAAGGAGAGAAAGGGGGAGGGGAGGACAGAACAGACAAAGGAGAGAAAGAGGAAGAAGAGGATGGGAAGTGGGCAGGGCCCCAAGGACAGGCCAGTACAGATGCAGATGCCTGCATACTAACAGTTTTGGTCTGTGTTAAAAAAAAAAAAAAATCAATAATTTTCTTAGCTTTAGTCTCAGAGTGAAGTGGCCTCTGTAAACCTAAAAGTATTAAACACTGTGTAGCAGGGAAAACCACAAGAGAAATATAATTATGAAATATATTTTATAAACATCTAATATTTGCTATAGTTTTATATCTGCATGGATATAAAGAGCATATAGATGCGAGAAGTTGGATTGGAGTCAACTGGAAGTTCACACAGCCACAGAAACTCCATCTTAACAGGTTCGTTGTTCTCTCTGCCTTCTGAAACCCTCTAAAATTTTTAGTAATGTGTGACTTTCTCAAAAGAAGTTTGTGGGATTTTGGTATAGACTATTACTAATTTTTTTTAAATATTAGTTTCTCTTGCTTGCTCAAAAAATAGTTTTTCTTCTGCACCTGCCCCATGAGATATGAAGTAAAGTAAAATGTGATGACTTGGATAGGCAGTGTTCGGAGCTCATACGGGGAAGGCTTAGCTCTCAGCTAATGACACTGTTAAGATACCATTGGACCATGATGGAGCTGGCTTTCTTAATGGGTTAATCCTTTGATACTATGAGGACACAGGGCCTAGTTGAAAGAAGGAGGTTCACTGGGGTGCAGTTTTGAAGGCTATGTCTGTCTCTTTTTCTTCCTGGAAGCCATGAGGTGAGAATTTTTATTCTGCCATGCGCTCGCTGTTGTGATGCTCTGCGAGATGAAAAGCCAAGCGGCCATGGGCTGAGAACCCTGGAACCAAATGAATCTCTCCTCCCGGCAAAAGTTCCTGCCAGCTATTCCAACACAACAATGAAAATCAGACTGCCAAGAAGGTGACATCCATCACAGCCCATTCTCCAGACCCATGTGATGGATTTCAGAGACAAAGATTCCTGAATCTTTATAAAAAAAATGTGGAGACATAATATTTCCTTAACTTCCAAACGTCGTGTAAAATGCATATGTAAGGCAAGAGGTACAAGACTTGAAGTGAAGAACTCAAGGAAGACACAGCAGACCTTTAGGAAGGCAGAGGATGACTGAACAGTGGTGCGTTCTGGGGCCTCATCCCCGGACAGGAGGAGGCCCAGCTTCTAGAGTGATCCCGTTTTCAAAGATAAACGGAAATGATTGGGATGCTCAGGATAGACAGTGAATAGCCAGATATGGCGGCTACCACACATGCATAGCCTTGGTTACTTGAGACACTGAGACAAAGGTATCATTTCTGTCGGAGCCAGCCAGGCTACCTTCCCCCCACAACTATAAAACTTTTGTTGCTACTTCATACCTGTAATTTTGCTACTACTATGAATAATAATGTAAATACCTGTTATGCGGGACGTCTGATATGTGACCCCAAAAGGGTCACAAGCCACAGGCTGCCCTAAGGGGTGTTTTATGACATTCTTGTGCCAGTCGGTGTTAAGACTTAAGTCATTATTTACCTATGACTAAATTGCCTTGGGGAACACTTGATATCTGATGACCAAGTCCATTATGAGGGCAGAAAGACTTCAAAAACAGCAAACTGGAGAAATGTCACTAACAATGACTAAACTGTAAAGCAGGGGTACTGTTCAATACTACACGCAAGGAGAAGGTTCTAGAGCATGAACATGTACAGGAGAAGTGAAAAAGAAAGTTGGGGTAATTTTGTATCACACACAGTGTTTTACGTAAAAAAGATCTATTTTAAGCACCAAGAAAAGGCCTTTAAAGGACCCAAATAAATGTTTAATCACCTTCTGCTGTGTTTTCCATCACACAAATAAGCTGGAGTTCCTAGGGACAACTGCATTGCCAATTCTCTGTGAAGATAAGACAGGCTTTGGTCGTTGCCTTCAAAGCAATCTGTCAAGGGTTTTGTCTAGAGCCTCTCAGGAAACTTCTCACTTTAGGAAACATGATTTATGGACTTGATCAGAATATACCTTAGCTACACCCTCTTCCTCGTGGTATAGTGACAATGTGCATTTTAACACAGCCATTGCACCCACACTTGCATGCTCAGATTGTGGAAAACCTTCCTGTGTTTCGATAATATTTTTACATTCTTTTCTTTTTATAGTGTTATGCCTGCATGTACATCTGTGTGAGGGTTTTGGATCCTCAGGAATTGAACTGACGGACAGTTGTGAGTGCTGGGAATTGAACCTGGGTCCTCTAGAAGAGTAGCCAGTGCTTTTAACCACTGAACCATTTCTCAAGCCTGATTTTGATATTATTGTGTGCTTTTCATATGAGTTCTATCCTTTATTGGAAATGTTATAGCTAGAAAAAGAAGAGCACAGGAAGAGACTAAAGCTTATATTTGTCAGAAGTTGGATTGGTAAAGTTGAATAGAATTGGCTATTCTTTGGCCTTAATTCTGATGTGGGGTAATAACCTCTCAATCACATTGGATGGTGGGGGGGAGACAGAGTAAAAAAAAAATAGATGTTAGTGCTTTGTTATCAATCAACAGATTAATCTCATATAGTATTATGGAAACCTATATTGGAAGATGAACCCTAAATTATCTTCATATTTTTAAAATGGTTTTACTACTTTGTGTGTGTGTGTGTGTGTGTGTGTGTGTGTGTGTGTGTGTGTGTGTGTGTGTGTGTGTGTGTGTGTGTTGGCACTTGAGTGCCACAATACAATATGATTATGGAGGTCAAAGGACAATATGGGTCCCAGGATTTGAACTCAGGCCATGAAGTTTAGGAATTTAGGAACAAGAACTTTCACCTGCTGAACAATCTTACCAATTTGGATTCAGAGGACTCATTTTGAATTCATTTGGTTTAGATGTCTTCTTGAAAGCCTCGAGGTACCATATTCTCTATTCCCATATAGAGTTTTCTTAATAGAAACATATTAAATGCTTGGCTATGTTTCGGCTCTCTAGGAAATAAATTGATTATAAACTTAAGATGACAAGTCAAAAGTGAGTACATTCACAATGTCATTGAGCTTTTTGCTGTCCTCAGTTGTTGCAGGGGACAAGTGCAGGAGGGTAGCCTCTTGGGGTAGGGGGCAGGAAGGGGCAGAATCAGCAGCTCAGGCTACATGAGCCACATGGAAAGCAAAAAGCACACTCATTTATTGAGGGAGCCAGCAGGCCTCTTACATCCTTTCCAGAGAGGCAAAGCTGGGATGCTAGGAGCCTTGTCCTCCCTCCCTCCCTGCCTCCCTCCCTCCCTGCCTCCCTCCCTGCCTCCCTCCCTGCCTCCCTCCCTGCCTCCCTCCCTCCCCCTCTCTCTATATCCCCCCTCTCTCATTGGCTCAGGTCATCATGACATTAGTGATCCCCAAGCCTCAAAGGCCTGGAGGCTGACTTCAGGTTGGCTCAAGAGAAACTTGCAAATGCGCATGCTCAGAGGAAGTTATGACACTGCTTGCCTAGTATTGAGCAGGCTGTTAGCCTCCTTCTATGCTCAACTGACTCTAACTCTTGCAAAGGACAACACATTTCCCTGCTGGCCATGTTGACAGCTGATAGAGTCTATTTGCATCCTCTGGGTGATCAGCAGCTTGATCATTCCTCACATTTCCCCATCCTATCCATTATTTCTATCCCAAACTAAGAAGATTGGAGGCATTTTTGGGGAAAGGGGGGATTTTAAGGGATTCATTTGCTGGCCGGTATAATTGAGATATGATTCCCAACTCTGCTCAGGGCTTCTCATCCTTTGCCCTGACAAAGTATAAAATAACTATGAACTCAGCATGTGCTGTGGGCTCCTACTGTATTACTGTTTACTAGATTGTTTAACATTGCTGGGCAGAAAGTCTGCTCTCTTTCTTTCTTTCTTTATTTACTTTCTTGAGCTTTTTTTGTAATGGCCTAAAAAGAACATTCAGTATTATCAGCTTAAGAATGCATGAGCGAAATTATTGACTCTTTGTCAAATATAAATGAGCCTCTGGGACGTCCCTTAAGGGTAGGGAAATCTAATACAAGGCTGCTTTATTTCTTGTTATGTTTTCACACATTCTATTTTCAGAGTTAGAAACTGGGTTAAAGCAACTAGGAGAAGTGACTATAAAAAAGAAATTTTATTTGCGTGTGTGTGTGTGTGTGTGTGTGTGTGTGTGCTTTTAAATTCAGCCTTCACTGAAGAAACTGTATTCGAAATTAAAGTGACCTTTTGATTTCTCTCTCTCTCTCTCTCTCTCTCTCTCTCTCTGTGTGTGTGTGTGTGTGTGTGTGTGTGTGTGTGTGTGTCTAGGATGAGACAATAGCTACATGGTTAAGTTAAGATGACTCCTCTGGAACACACCTTTCTTGCCTGACAGAAAGGGAATGATGTGGATGAACAGAGTGTGATTTGCTTTCCCTCCACTCGCCCTGCGTACAGCAGCTCCCAACAGATGAAGAAATAAAACCTGGGCAAATGAAATAAACAGGAGGCCAGATGGCCTATTGCTTAAACTAAGAACACAGGGTTCCTGGGGCGCCGCCCGCTAACACGTGAGTACCCATGGAGGTAACAACAGAGGCTGTGTGTGCCCTTAAAACACACAGCTGAGGCTGGATGACCTGATGGTGTTCATCATCAAACCAAACTACTCTCAACAACTACTACATTGTTTCTTGTTGGGACGGAACCACAGCACCAGGTGACTGGAAGTCCTGGCTAGGAGGTAACAAGAACCCTAACACCCAGCTGTAAACCCACCTGTGACTTGAGCACGCCACCTTCTCTTTACCTCTCCCCTTCTACCAGCTCTTCCAAGGGCTTTGACACCAGACCCTGCGTATCTCTGTAATTCTTCGCAAATGCTCTCTTTCCTCTCCCTATATTGGCATTAGCTTGTTTTTGCCAGGCTAATGTTTCATTTGCATTCTCTATTGCACAAACCAGGAGCTGAGTGAAATCCAAGCCACCTGTGGCTCCTGGAGACTGAGACAGATTGAAAATCAATGGGCCAGAAACATTTCAAAATAGAATGATCTTAGAGGCTAGATTTTCAACATGTTACCCAGAAGCTCTGGACCAATGCTATCATCGGGAGTTCACAGCACAGATCAAGTATACATTCAGATAGTAGGACACTTTGGTGGAGTTCTCAGATAATTTGATGTAGTTGGGTTTAGTATTTTGGCTCAAATACTTTTTTGGAGGCATTTAGGGAGGAAAAAAAATATCCTGAGAGTTCTTTGAAGAAAGCATAAGTGTGTCTGCCACAGCAATAGACATATAATTTCAGAAAATTAATAGAGGCCTGAGAGCCCATTAAGATCCTTGATGAGGATTTCTGAATTCTTCCAGTCCTCTAGCATTTGTATGAATGATGCCAGCAAGTGCAAGAACAGTGCAAACTTGTAATAGAATCAGCATTATGTATTGATGGCCCCATGTCACCTCTGCAGAGCATTCTCGTCCAAAAGCAGCAGCAGTCATCCAAGTCATGCTGGAAACCTCAAAAGGAGCCTTCACATTGGTAATCAGCGACAACGGTGTCAAATTGGGTTAGGGTGAGCCCTACGTTTACTGATGAGTGTCCTTAAAGGAAGAACTGGTGGGGAGAGGGGGGTGTCACACTGGGTAAAGCTCACACACAAGCACAGTCAACATAAAGTTTGTCATACTGTCTCTAGTCAGTGCCACAGTGGAAATAGCAGATTCTCCAGAAGCTCACCTGCTAGCTGCCCTTGCACACACACAACAAGCAACAAAAGACCCATCTTGAACAAGGTGGATGGTAAGGGGCAAGGGCAGAAGTTATCCTCTGACCTCCATTTACACACTGTTACAACCCCTTAGTTATAACATTCGCGCGTGTGCGCGCGCACACACACACACACACACACACACACTAACACACATTCACATAGACAATATCACACACACAATTTTAAAGAAAATATGGATGGGATGGGGGTTGGAGGGCATGGGAGAATGGGAGGGAGAGGGAACTGGGATTTACATGTAAAATAAAATTGTTTTCAATTTAAGTTAAAAAAGGGGGAAAACAAAAACAAAAACAAAAAACCTAAATAAATAAACACATAAGCAGAAAAAAAAAACCCTATAGGTAAAGACAATTATGCACCAGGAAAAAGCAAACTGATGACTGCCGCTGTCATGACCCTGCTATTTAGGTATTATATAGGTGTTGTTATAGTGAAGCAGCAGAGATTGAGGTGACAGTTCTTCAAGACAAGGAACATTGTGGGTTGATGGCAAATCCAGGGCAGAGGCTTAGCGTGGATTCCTCTTGAACCTCCAAAGGCACCAGATCCTACAGGCTCCCTACAGTTTTCTGACCAGACTTTCTATTGTTCTAAGAACCCTAGTTGAGTAGTAATGGCTTATTGGAGCCCAGAGAAATAAGCAGTGTAGTTTATTGCGATTAGTTTATATTTTCTAACCATTGTAGTTAAGAGTTCCAACCCTGATCCCACCACTGGCCTTATTGATGTGTTTCCATTTTACTTGTAAAGGAATTGATAAGAATTGGTGCTGGGCATGACAGTGCCTTTCCTTTTCCTCGGATGTTCTTTAAGCCCTGTAATGAGTTATGCTGAGGAATGTTCTCAGACCAAAACAGTGCTCAGATTAATTTTCAAGCGGTGTGTGTTTCCCACGCTGGAGTAGCTGCTATTGATCTTGCCTGGTAGGAAAAAAAAAATCCAATGAAACTTAAAAGGAAGTTCCATTTAAAGTTTCTAGTAAAATGGGAGTTTGGTTTATTCACACAATGAAGAAACCTTGGAGATAATGTTGTTGACTTCCTACACTCTGAAGTGCTTCGGGGAGATAACTGGCTTTACTGGGCAATGATCTCTCTGGAAAGAACTGCCTTGGAGATTCACAACAATTGCTTGAGATAAACAAACTAGCTTGACTTAATTGTCCTAATCCCATTTTCAGAACACACATGCCAGCTGTCGATGTTATTGGGACCCTAGATTAACCTGTTCATGGAGACGCTACTTGGAGCTGCTATCAAATTGTTTTAGCAATAATCTAGAATACCGGTGTAGTTTGCCATAATTCATTGTTCTTGATAAATTCTGAGCTGGAGGTGATGGATTTTGGCACGGAGAAAGGTCCAATGCCATGCATGCTAATATGAGAAGCCATTTGGATATGTGACTTGATATAGAATTGACAGTTCTGCCTTTATTCATGTCTAAGAACTGCTTGGAAATACATTCCTTTATTGAGAAAATGTGTACGTGTGTGTGTGTGTGTGTGTGTGTGTGTGTTTGTTTGTGTGTGTGTGCATACGTGTGCATGCATGCGTGCATGTGTGTGGGGGGGGTACTCTTATAACTTGAGGAGCCATGCTTTACCCTTAGGGTGCATGTGAACGTAGCTTCCATTTGTGGGGTCCCATCTGATTTTCTATTTCTTGAATACTGAATAACTATTCTGGGCTTCTGTTTTTCTGTAAGGAAAATGGCAAGATAAACCTCTTGGAGTTGTGAGTCGGAGCTGAACAGATAAATCAGTTGTATTTCTATAAGCCTCCTCCAAATTGACAGCAGCAGAGGGTGGGTGTCTCTTTGAGTCTACTGCTTTCCTAAAAGGGCAGTAGTGGATTCCTGGAAGATACCACTCAGTACAATAAGAAAGGGTTCCATACACGGGCATTGAAAACTCAGCTGTGCTTCTGTTAGTCACGTAGAAACATGGTAAGAAGTACCAGCTGACCTGGAACAGTGCAGGCACATACAATGCCATCTGGATACAGTGAAGGGTAGAACAGCTAGGAGAAGGAGGAGAGGGTGGCCTTTGGGCAAAAGTATGAAAGAGACCAAGTCTGGAAAAGAACAGCATGGAGCAGGGGAAAGGCCCTGAAATGAAATTGTTGAGTAGTAAGTGTCTGTTTGGAGAAGCAGTGGCAAACAATCTAGAAGACAGGTGAGTGTCACTGCCCGGAGAGTAGAGGGCTTGGGGAGATGAACTCCTGAAGGCTCAGTGTGGTTTAACCCTCAAGTTGGGGACTGAAGAACTGTGCAGTGTGGGTAAGTATGTTCTTCTGAGCCCCAGCTGTAACTCTTTTTTGTGAGCTGCTGGTAGTATTTTAGTTAACACATACATCTAAGTCCCTAGCACAATACCATGAGTAACAGCTATTGATTGGCCTACCGAGGAATTAAAAGGAGAGACAATTAAAGAAGAAAAGGCAGCTAGCTTATACATTTAGCTCTCATCTCCAAAGGACAATGTAGTCAGGTCTACCTGAAGGATTCCACATCGCATGCCACTCACTAAGATTCTTTAACAGTATGCACTCGTCTCCTGCATCTCAAATGTATTAGAGCTCTGTTGTCTAATAACCAACCATCAGACACATGATGAAATTTAATTTCACTAGCTACACTTCCAATAACATGGACCAATGGATTCCACAAAGAACAGTGTGCATGCATATATGTAAATATATTGTGAATATGTTTATGTCTCTATGAATTTGCATGTGTTTCTATTGCCACCGAGACTTCTAGTACCAGTACACAATTGACTATAGTAGATTTTGTAATAAACAAACAATGTGACCTGGGCTAAAGAGAAAAGGCTCAGCAGTTAAGAGTGCTGGCTGCTCTTTCAGAGGGCTCAGCTTTGACTCTCAGCACCCGTGTGGCAGATAATAACATTCGAAACTCTAGTTTCAGGGTATCCGATGTCATCTTCTGACCTCAGCTCATATAGTACACATACATTTGAGCCAAACACTCATATACAAAATCATACTAACAATGAAAACAAAGATGTGACTTGGGAATCAAGGGAGGCAGAGGAGTAGGGAGTTAAGTTTCAAGAAATGCAAGGCTTTTCTGAAGCAATCTCCACTATCTTTTTAGAGATACTTGAGATGCTGTCAATATTGTTCAGAACTTTAAACAGAGAAGCTCACTAAGACAGAGAAACCATAAGTTGTCCTTCACAAAGTCATGAAGTTGAAAGAACTCTAGCCACATTTAAAAATGTGTCCTACAGATGACACCTTTGTCTGTGATGGCAAAACATAATCTATTGGTAGCTAAGCCTTAAGGTTACCTCATGTAACCTTAAGAGCTAAACAAAATCAGGCAGGCATAATAATGGCAACCAGACTTGCACAATGAGTCATGTCACTCATGAAAAGATTCTCATCAAGAGAACATTGTGGTCAAAGGTGAAGAGTCACTGTGTGTTTTAAGGCATATATCAAAGTCTGTGGAGAGACTGAATGCTCCAAGGCAAGCTCTCATAGTGTTTAAGATGCAGAGAATAAATTTATGAATTTGTGGTTAGAAAGCAAACAATAGAAGCCGTAGATCTGAAGATATTAGTAGTTCTGTTGCCCTACCTCACAAAAGAATAAAATATGACCATGTATATAGAACTCTGAAACCTAATTGGAACTGGGTTAACATCTGTGGCTATGATTATATGCCCAGTCCTTGTGCAGGAGCCAGAGTCTGCCCCATCACATTCAACAACCCCCTCCACCGGATTTCAAAGTGCTCTTAACCCTGTGTTACAGGACATAAAACCCTATCTTAGAAGAGTCAAGGCCTCTGTTGAGTTAGAATACAAAAGTCCAAATTACGGTTTTTGCTACTGTAGTTGTTGCTGACACATGCCCAGGTAAATGAAGAAAAATAATGGATCAAGAAAAAGGGTAGAAAGGAAGAGAAATCGTTTTTAAAGAGTACATGGTCCTTTTACCCCCCACCCCAGCCTTACTCATTCATGCCATAAAATGCAACTGAAGTACAAAATGAAGAAAGCCTGAAGCCCGTGTCTTTGGACTTCAGAAGGTGACTGAGAGTTGATATGACATTTCTGAACAGTTTCAAGAAACTGGAAGCTATCTAAGCTGAAAGGAGAAATGTGCCAGATGGGAGCCTGAAGTAGAAGGGTCCCCAAGGCTGCTACCTTCTGGAAAGTCTTATTCGAGGATCTTATTCCTTTGTGGGGAAGGTCTGGTGCCTTGACGGATGGTTTCAGCTGAGTATCCCAGATGATGCTATTCTCAAACCAGAATTTTAAGCCTTAACTTACACTTAGAAATTGTGTTTTTTTGTTGTTGTTGTTGTAATCTTCCACAGCACATTGAACTGCACATAGACAGTTGAACTACATACCTTGGTGCATAAAATAATTTGTTGTTTTCATAAGGAATCATGCATGATTATAAACTGTCTTTTATAGCACCCTTCAAGTAGAGATGGAGTCTTGACCAAGTACGGTGGGCAGAAAACATAAAAGGGGACAATAAAAATAAAAATTAAAAAAAAATGAGTTTCCCCTTATAGGGAATAAGGATCTATGAAAAGAGACTGCTTAGGCTTTCAGGCACTAATAAGTATGGATATGAATGACCAGAGATGTTTCCTATGGAGCCCATTCTCTACCGAATCTAATATCGTATCATGACAAAGACATAAACATTATCTGAAGGGGTCCATGTGAAAGAGAAAGCCTGTACAAATGGGAACACCCGTAAAGGTAAAATTTAAAGACAACAGCAACGCAATTATTATATGTAAGAACCATGTCAATTTTACAGAACATGAATAAGAAAAGCCAAAGCGATAAAAAGTAAAGTAATATGGCCATCTCCATCTCTTTCAGCAATTTGTTCTAACTTCATCGTGTGTGTGTGTGTGTGTGTGTGTGTGTGTGTGTGCGTGTTTGTTTGTTTCTTGAAGTGAACTAATTTATCAAGATTTTCATAATAGAATAACAGAGTCTGGGTCATTTAAGTAACAGAAATTTGTTTTCCCATAGTCTGTAGGTTGGCAGGTGTGGTTTCTCCTAAAGCTTCCAGCATTAATGGTGTCTTCGCTCTGTACCCTCATCTGGCCTTTCTTTGTGCACGTGCATCCCTTGTATCACTTCCTCCTTATGAAGACACTGGTCATGATAGATTAGGGCTACTCACATGATCCCATTTTAGCTCACTTACTTCTCTGAAGACCCTCTCTTCAAATTAATTGAGTCTATTAATGGTAGGAACTCAACATCTAAAACTTGTGTGAAAGCAATTTGGTCCACAATACAGGAAAAGGCATGTGTTCACTTACCCCAGACTGCTCTTGGCTCTTACCCGATCATCTTATTGTTGTCAGCTAAATCCTTCTTGGTATTTAGTAATCTAAGTTTGAAATGCAGTATAACTTAGCCTTTAGTAAAGAAACACATGCAATTCATTTTATTTCAGCCAGGTTCAATGTGAGAATCGAGTATTTGTTTCCAAACTGGAGTTAATTGAATGAAAGTTGGATAATGTGAGAGACATATAGAGGCATTAGTTAAACTTTTAATTGTAGGGCATAGGATGAAGGGCTTAAATTTCTGCCCAATGGTTAAAGAACATTTGAGTGTGTCCTGGAGTCAGGCCAATGCTTCCCTTCCTGCTACATACCATCACAGGAACTGGTATTGCAACATCTCAAGTGTCAGGAACGAGCTGTCCAGCTAAAGGGCTGCGGGTGGGCACCATGGTACACATTACCCCTTGCTTCCTTCTGTATCCGGAAGCCAATTGCAGTCTTGGTCAAGCAGTCATCGATCATTTGAGCCTGCTCCCTCTGAAATTATACCTAAGACCTGGGATGAGGCTGCATAACATTAGTCCTGACAGCAGAGTCCTCTTTTATTTGTCAACTGAGTTGATGTGGATACAACACTATTTTAATATAGGGACTATTTGGAAGAAAATCGTCCAGAGAAAGGAAAACAAAATTTAACAAAAATATCTCAAAAAAAAAAAAAAAAAACAGAATAAAGATGCTTTAAAAGGTGGGGAGTAAATAGACTTTTCAGAACTGGGAGATAGCTAAAGTGCCCACAAAATTTTCAGCACATAAGCATGAGGATCTGACTCTCAGAATCCATATAAAATATAGGGGATACACTCCTTAGTGCTTAACAAAGGCAGATTCCTGGGTCCTGCTGGCCACTTAGTCTCATCAAACCAGTGGGTTCCAAGTTCAGTAAAGTCCATGTCTTCAAAACTAAGCAGCAGAAGTGATAGAAGACAACACCACATATTTACCTCTAGCCTAGACATGCATGTGTATGCAAGTGCATGCATGCCCCCACACACACATGCACAGGTACACATG